CGCCCCCACCTGCCTGGCCCAGGCTCATAGCCAGCGGCCCTGCGCGCCAAATGGCGTGGGAAAGGGGGCGGTCGTAAATCAATGACCAAATCGGCACGCCGAATATATATAAGTCCCAGTGTTCTGAATCGCATAGTTGGCCCCGACGGCCCTGCGCTGCGCGCGCACGTTTTTCTCTGGTGCGGGCGGGGGATTAGTCGTGCACAATGAGCAGTGGGCGCACGCAGGTGCCTCCCCCCCTACCTCACCCCGGATTGGCACCTCGCTTTGTGCACTTTCCCACTGCCCTCCTCTTCCTCAATGACCAGTGCATGGACCATACCAGCCAGCGTCTCCGCTCCCCGCTGTGACTAGAACGCGCCCAGCAGGTGTCGCACGGACAGTTTTATATACGGTCTCCTCCCTACAAACTCCCGCTTTATGGTCCCAAGTCCAATGCGCAGTGTACTCAGCCTTGTGTCTGTCTGTGTGTGTCCAGGTGCCCACGCCAACCCCGCCGTCACGGCGGCCATGGCGGTCACGAGGAACATCACCCCGCTGCGCGCGCTCATGTTCGTGACGGCGCAGTGCGGGGGCGGCATCGCGGGCGCGGCGCTGCTCTACGGGTAAGTGACTGACGCGCACGTGCACACGCCGGCACTCGGGGAGCCCCCCAGCCCCGACCGGCTCGGCTCGACCGCGAGGATCAAATATTGAAATTAATAACGACCCTTGAAAGGTCATCTTTGCCGTCTCGTCTCTCCTCGTTCCCGCCGGCCCGGCGGCCGGCCCTTCCTCTTTGCCTTTCCCCCCTCCCGTCTTCTTGCTCATCCCGGCTCCTTTCACGTGGGAGCATTATCGGCAAGACAAACACGCGGCGTGGCGGGGCGGGGCGGGGCGTGGGCGGGGGAAGTGTGGGAACGTGTTGATCTCTTGGTCCGTCCCCCTGCACCGCCCCGTGGGCTGAGGTGCGAGAGGCCGTCTCATCCCGTCCGGTCCGTCCCGCCCGTCAGACGGAGGGAGGATTTCTCCCACGTGACCAGAGGGGTGGAGGGAGGGGGGCCATCACCACCATTGGTATGAATTTGCCGATGTCGTTACTCCGCTGGTCGTTGTTTTTCGGACGCATTGATTAGTCCGAGTTATGACCAGCGCCTGCATATTGTTTGCGGCCCGGAGCCGCGCCAGGTACACACATCATACGCGTCACGTGCACTCCAGCCGGCACCAGCCGAGGCTGCTTTATTATGCCATATTCTCCCCCATCATCGAATTACCGCCGCCTCGCCCCGTCGGCCCCGTCCGCCGTACGTTTCTTCCCCGGAATTCATTACCATGCAGCCTGGCGCTGGCCGTGGTGGCCGCGACGCAGGCAGAGCGCCCCGCCCCGCCC